TTGACATCACATCATCAAACTCTTTAACTCAGCCTTGTTCGGAGGACGCTCTTTTTTTGCAGAACAATTGACTTTTTTTTTTCGTTGAAGTTCGTGGTCCATCATGTCTTGGTGCTGTGGTTCACTGTGTCTACTGGTCCTGCTGGGAGTTGCGGTGGCATCTAGGATTCCTTGCCACTTTGTTTCTGATGCAATGCAACAAAAACACGAGTCCATCGCAGGCCTGCTGGTGAGTTTACCTGGTGGTGTCCCACAGGGCACAATTTTAGATCCTCTATAGTTTTCTCGGCAGCTTAGCCTGTGCTTCTGACTAAAGGGTTTAAATGCCACATTGTAGCTTTATTTAAGGAACTTGTCTTTTAAGATTACACAGAAGTTGACATTTGAGTTCTTATGAAGGGTTATGTGCACAAATTTATAGGTGAAAAAGGCTTTTCTAAAGTGATATTTACACTCTACTACAAGGCCTCTATGACCTCCTATGTGATAAGAATCACATACATCCTCTGCACTGATATATGCTTTTGCTTTCATTTATATATGATAACAAATGACTTCACCTTTGCCAGTCTCATTATTTGCATGTGTTACTCAAACCGATAAGATATTAACCCAAACAAACTGAGGTGACTGAACGTTGACTGTGATGTTTCAGATCAAGAAGGTGGAATTAAAGCAGTTAGTTTGCCAGTGGTTTGGTCTGATGTGATGCTCTATCTCTGACCGCAAATATCATCAGCAATTATTTTGAACCTTTTGGAGATGCAGCTGCACACAGAAAGTCTCTGTAATAATCATATAGAAAGTGATGGTGTGTCTGTGGTTGTCAACAGCTCAGAGTGACCAAATTATTATTGTAACATTTCTACACATTTATATCACAACTTCATATTTCTTATTCAGTGATTACAATAAGACACTGGTAACAATTAGAACTAACTCATCCTAATTGCATTATATAAAAAAATAACTTTTTTAAAAACCTTAAATCCCATTAGGTGTCCTGGTAATTATGATGCATGCAGCTGGGGAAATATTTGGATCCTTGTATCATTAAAGTACCTTAATAAGTGAAACACTGAATAAAATGAAGATAAAACAAAAGAAAACATAACCAAGTGTTCACTGCCAACTTTCAGTATTTGACAGTTTTCCTTATTTCCAGATAATAACTCTGGACAGATTATGTTGTTGTGCTGGTTAACCCTTTGAACAGAAATATAAATATTCAAATGTGTTTCTTGTTTGTATTTTAGAAGTTGAAGGAGCAGGAGATCGGCACTAGTCCTCTCTTCAGTTCAGTCATCAAGAGCATCAACACCTCCTGCCAGGTACACACAACTCTGTCTCTACTACCTCTACTGTACGTCTATTAGTATTAATATCTTAGACAAATGTTAGAAAACCATGCGTCGCCACATGTGGTGATTTTGAATCGTTTTAGTTACATTGAAGAGTTCCTTAAAGGGTTTGTGAAAAGTTGTCATTGTGGAGATACGTGTTTTTCACAGGTCACCGATAATATGTGAATCCACACTAAAGACAAGCAGACATTTAGAAACAGTATTCAGTGTTGATGCTGATTAACGAGGCAGAGAGGAATCCTCGGAAAGGGAAAAAGAACAGGACCCAGAATGGAGCCTTGAGTGATGAAGGCAACACTTCAGCTGTCAAATCAAAAATCTATATATATGTTCTTTTATATTGTAATACACAAAACTATCTGGGAAATCACATGAGAAACTGTTTTATTATAAATAGAATAGCCACACAGGAATGTTGGCACTGAATTCAATACAGGAAATATCAAGATATGGCATGGATGCAAAATCATATAAAAATCCAATATTGCCATGAAACAGAAGCTCTCATTAATTTCCAACATATCATAAAATGGCGTTCTATACAGTATATAATATATCACTGTATATATCGTCAAATTAGACAAAATTATATTCAATTTTAGACTTTTTGGACTAATTTGACTTTCTATATTTTGTCCAAGAATCCGGACTGAAGACCAGATTTGCTGTTAGAAAAGTTTATTTTATTACAACAAGACTCATTTTAGTGAACCGTTCCCTCCTCTCGTCCACAGAGAAATGTTCACGTGATGAACGCCACTCTGGACGTCTACATCCGAATCTTCTCCAGCATCCTGCAGAGTGACCAGCACCAGCTGCGGTCCGACGCCGATAAGTCCAGAGTGAAGTCGGTCGTGACATTGTTCAAGCAAAAGATGGAGGAGCTGAGGAGACACCTGGGCCAGGGGAACGACAGAGACGACGTGCTCAGCAAGCTGAAGGGAATAGAGGTGAGCGTCCGTCTGTCTCGTTGAATTAACGGCATTTAGGGTAATTTCAAGACTTTCAAATGATCATGACAGATCACTTTCACTTTCACTTTTATTTTATTTTATTATTAATGAACTGTCTCTCTCTGCAGGTGGACAACGCCTTGGTTCAGAGACAGGCTCTGGCTCAGTTTAAAGAGGTCTACCAGGCGGTCTCTGTGATTGTCTCCCCCCGATGTGGACACGCCCACTCCTCCTCTGCTGAATGACGTCACCATTATCAATAGCTCTGACTAAATTAGGTGCTGGGAATTAGTTTTCATGTCAAGTAATTGTCTGTCATTAGCATAATGTAATGTTTTTTGTGTTTATTTTCTTTTATCACTTTCACAGTTTGAGATATTTATTTTGTTATTTAAAGGGTTTACATAAGGTCAGGTCCCAATCCAGTCACTTCACTGAGTTATATTTATTTTGTAATCATTTAATGTATTTTTTAATTTATGGTTCATTTAACTTAATTTATTTTTCTTGTTGTCGTTTTAAAGGTGTTATCTTGTTCATTTGAATTAAAGCAGAAATCAGCACCAAATAAAAGCTTCATTTTTCATTTCTTACACTTTAAAATACTTTTATTTCTGCTTACAACAGAAGAATATTACGGCCTCCCGTGTGGAGTTTTCACGGTGAATAGGATTTCCAGAAAGCTTCGTACTGCAGTTTCATACCTTTTACACCAAACATACAGGCTGGTGCCAGTGATGAAGATGATGAAGATGATGAAGATGATGGTGATGACGCCATTCTTTTTTTCATCATCTCTTTATTTCCAAAGAGCGTACAATAATCAGCAACTCTCATTTAGTGTTGTTTTTGTCGCCCCCTGTGGACTAAAGTGGTAGTGTCTCTGAGCACCAGACTCTTTAGAAACCTCTCATTCTACTGCAGCAGGCCTGACAGTCTGCCCCTCTCAGTCCTGGTTCTGGTTCTCTCGTGCCTCCCTTCCCTCCAGCGGGTACAGCAATACGTCCTGGTCTCCAGCAGCGTGGTGTCGGTGTCGACTCCCAGAGAGGAGAAGCTCTGCTCCTGGAGGAGGAGGAGGAAGAGGAGACGACGCTGCTGCTGCCGGGAGCTGAGCTCTCCTCCTCCCTCCGGAGCTCCGACTGCAGGTCCAAGGCTGCAGGTGAAGCCGGATCTGGGTCTGTCCACGGTGGACCGGTCTCTGCTGGAGTCTGAGCTGAAGGAGGTTCTGGTGAACCTGCATGATGTCATCTGGTTTCACCAGAATCCGACCCAGTGGACCTTCACGTACAAGAATAAATCATAATTTGGGGCTCTATGTTGAGTGTCTTTTCTATTAAAGTAAAGTAAAACTTATAATGTAGTTTGGATGCTTTTGAAGAGAGAAAATAAAGAGAAAGAAAGAAAAAGACAAACAGAGGAAATAAATAAAGAAAAACTGAAAGAAAGAATTAAAGAAACAAAGAAAGAAAGAAAGAAAGATTTTCTGTGTGGTAATTCCTGTGACATCACTCTGATATCACCGTGTTTCCCAGCTCCTGCACCAATCACAGGGAGGGACTTCCCCTCAGGCAGCGGTGATGTAATGAGACACTCTCAGGACGTTTTGTCATTATTTGTTGTATAAAATGTCTCAAATCTCCATATTTAATAAAAACAGATGAACTAAAAGTCTTCAACATGTGAAATTATTAAAAGTGTTTTAAAACCAATTCATTTCAGAAGAAGTTTAAAACAAGTTGTTTTTCCTTATTTAATAAAAGAACGGGCACATTTTACACTTTTCTGTATCACATGTATGTCACATATATTAAAGCTGTGTTTCATGATTCCACGAGTCGCCTTCTGCCTCATTTTAGGCACATTCAGCCGGACATGTTTGGTATCTTTAAAAACGTTCATATCTCCACTTATATTATAAATAAATAAACAAAGCTTGAGTTTTTACTGACTGATCCAACGGTGCAGAAGTCAGAATATCTGAGGATGAACCTGGTAAATATCTTTGTTCTCTGTCAATTTGTCTCCTTTGTGTTCCACAATATGTTCAATAACATCTCAGAAATATGGATATAAATGACATTTTATCAAGCAAATATACAAATGAGAAGAAATAAAATGACAAAAGAGGAAAACAGCATTTCAGAAATTCTGATGTTTTTCTTTCAGATGTTCACACAGAAAAATAAAGGTGCCATCTGGAACCGAAAATGGTTCTTCGGAGTGATGCCATAGAAGAACCATTTTTGGTTCCACAAAGAACCTTTCCGACCAGGGTTCTTTAAAGAACCCACAAAGGTGCCTCAAAGAACCTTCAAAAAATGGTTCTTTGAAGCACCATTTCTGGTTCTTTGAAGAACCTAAAGACAAAAAGGTTCTTTAAAGAACCATTTTCAAAAAGGTTCTTTATGGACCCAAATGGTTCCATAAAGAACCCTTTTCAAATGGTTCTTTAGCTAAAAATGGTTCTTCCAAGGAATAAATGGTTCTTTAAAGAACTGAGTTTTGGAAAACATGATTTTTTTTTTTTTTTTTACATTTAAACAGCATAACAATGGAATCAGGGTTCCCACTCTTTTTTAGAGATCATATTCCAGGATCCTTTCTGTGATGATCTATAAAATCATCTTTTACATGCACGGAAATGATGGCAAATTGATTTGTGGATAAAAGAAACACCTGTAGATGTACTGCACTTCACTTTATTGTCAGAAATCAACTCTATACAATGTAATCCATGTGCTGCAGTGTCCTATCTAAGAAATGTTCAGAGCATTTGCCTCTCTCTGCACAGCTACAGGTACCCGTGTGTCCAGCTTCAGGATAAATGCCTCCAAAAAGCCTCCAAAAGACGTTTTTTTCAGATGACAGAGGGCCAACACAACACCCATGGACAATGAACCGTCTGCGTCTTCATTGTCCACCATCATTTTTTGTCCATCCACTGCTACAAAAACATCTGTGCCGTCACTCAGGGGCTTGCCATCGCTGCTGCTCAGGACAATTGTGGGTGTCGGGCTTAGTGGTTCCTGAAACAAAACATTTGAAACTTAAAGCTGTATTCTGTAATGTTTAAAGATCAAAGCTTTCTGATATGCTTAGTTGCACATAAAATGCTAGTTTGTTGAGATTAGATGTCATATTTTTGAAATTGCACTTTATCTTAATTTTCTGAAAATATATTTCCCTTTTTTAAATAAACAAATTCAAGTTGCCCCCCACAAACACAAATGACTAACCTTATCTATTGCAAAGAGCTGTGATGCATTTCCTTTGAAGACCGATGGTAGGAGGAGTATGGCTGCATTCACCAACAGGCCTGCAAATGACAAATCATGTTTCAATCAATGTCACAATTCTGATTCTGCAAAGTTTTGAGACTATCATACCAATTTCCTCAGGAGTGTTGATTTGGATAACAGTATCTAGGTAAACGTCAAGTCAACTTTTTAGAGCACTTCTACACAAAACACAGTATATGGGATATTCTAAAAGGCTTAAAGGGAAAATGGATCAATGAGGCAAGAAAAAGTATTTAACGTTGATTAATAGTTTTAAAGTTATTTATTGGTTTGAAATTATTTGGCTACTTGTAAAACCATCTTGTTGTACATGTCGTTTCTCAACTCCAGTCTCACATCTTAAGTTGCTCATCAGACTGTAAACAAATAAACAGCGCACTGAAAAGGAAGTCTGGATATCAGCCGGCTACACTAGAACCCCAGAAATATAGCCCCTTTCCCCCAGGGGCATATGCGTCATCAAACAAATAGCTAATTGTTCCCAAATCGCCCTCTGTCTTAAGTTCTGGTTCAGCGCCTGTCCATTTCAGGGTCTGAGGTCCACCCACCACCGTCTCACAAAATCCTGCGGGAAACACTGCACCACGTGTTATATATTAGATAAAACACTCACCAAGATTGGAATAGAGAAGCAGGTGAATTCTTTCAAGACCTCTGCAGGAGAGTGTTGTTGAATATAGTGTCTTCTGTACTCTCTGGAGGCATTGGCGAATGATGACCAAGTTAGGCCTCATCTTTTGGCACGCCTGCTTCATTGTTGCAATATGGTGGCTCGTACTTCTTTCGTCGTCCCCAGCATCCATTGCATCTGTTTGCTACGTAATAAACAATGACACAATTAGGACTGAGCTGGAGCATGAAGTATGAAGGATAAAATTCAGTTTAGCATTACTCTTTTAGTCAGTGAGAAAATACTTGCATATCCAGATCCATAACTTTCCTTCAGAAAAGGGAAGTTGAGCAGGACAGACTTAAAGAGCTGCTCATACTGAATATGAGACGGATACCTGTAAGTTTTCAAAAGGAACAAAACACAAGGCGTTATACAAGATTAACATTCCAGATCAGCGCAATAAACAGAGATACCTAACTCAAATGATCAGAAAGAGCAGTTAAAGGTCAGCAAATGTGTAGTTTGTCATCATGATGCATAGCTTTCACTATGGCATACAGACCTAAAACTTGATTAACAAGGAAACTTGTTTTACAGGCAGATAACATGTCATTACTGTACATTACGGCTGTAAAAATTGGCCAACAATTATGTTTGAATATTCGTTCTTGAAAAACGCATAAGTTCAAACTATTCAAATATCTTTTGTTGTTCATTATGTCCATGACACTGTGTCCTAAATGGCAGCGAGTGGTACTGCGCTGTGCACCGTTTAGAGCTGAACTTTTGTCGGACACCGTTTCTATTTATATTACTGTCACATGCTTTGAAAATGTCAGATAGCAAGTACTACTTAGACATTTTTTTTTGTGGTTACGTCTCCAGTCTGATCTGGAGCTCACAGTTGATAGGTACATGGTTTGCTTACATGATGTAACGCATCACACGTGTTGCTGTCTGTCGCCATCTTCTATTATGGAACACAAACTTACATTGTGTCTTGGCTCAAATGGTCAAACAGAGCTGCATCCTTGTTGGTCAGTGCCGTGAAGACTGTTGGAGGAAACCGGACTTGGCAGTTGATCATTGGTTGGGCTGCTAGGGCTCTCTGACTCACAGGGGCTTCGCTTTCACTGCTAAAGGGGAGGAAAATCAGATTTTAATTTAAGCCAACATGTAAGAAAACTACCAAAAACAAGACAAGTAAATCCTTGGAATTGTAACTGAAATGACATGGCTTCACTGTATAACGTAACTCACACTTTCAGCTGCGCTAAAGCAGACAGGAACTTCACTTGGTCTTTCATTTTTGGAAAGATTCGCTCACTCATTCTTTCAGACATCTGGAGAAGTGTAGGCCCATCTACTTCATTATCTATGGCAGAGAGAAACATTAATGAACCAAAATCATGTTAGGAGTCGGTATGTGTTGCCATGGCTCATGTCCATGTTTCGGAATTAACATTCTTGCCTTGCTCAATGCTGAACATCCTTGAATGGCCGATGTATCAGTGTTATGAGGTCTTTACCATCACAATGACTACATATGTCCACATTAGTCATTAGTGACTGTATGACTATAGTGCTTAACCTATTACTGTATTGCACAAGACATTGAAAACGAACAGCTTATGCTCAAGTCTGGGTGAGCAGCATCCATCATTCATAACAGAGTTTTTCCTGACCTGTGCACAGTAAAGGCACCAGGTCTGTTCTATGCATTATAATTTACTATCATTTTATTGGTTATTTCTGGCCATTTTGATATACCCAATTAATAAACCCAATTTAACTTTCTATCCTTCAAACTGACAAATCATAGACTATACAAGCACCAACATTTTAAGGTCAACTAACATTAAATCCATTATTTTTACCTGCTGGAACATAAGTGTCTGCTGTATAAGTTACATGTCCTGTGCTCTCCTTGAGAAACTTATTCAAACAGTGTCCTGCTTCATCCTCCACAGCTGGTCAAAAATCATACATTTAAGCTCGTTTGTGTCACTACAATCAATAATGTGTATTTACACAACATTCAGGAATTGCTTTAAGGTCCACATAATTTATATAATCACAAAATGTGGCACATAGTATACAGCTTCCTTCAGTTTTTACAGCTCACTAAGCTCTGCGCGGATCAGCACAGCTCTGTCTGAGGGCAGCCACAACGCCGCTCACTCACATCGCTAGTTTACCGTCAGCCAAAACACTAGCGGTGCCTGAAATTGTCAAGACTGATCTTCATCAGTTGCTAACGCAGCTTTCTGACCTTAACTTGTAAGCTACCGTTACAAACACACGTTTATTTACTGTCTTACCCCACCAGACAGCTCAGCTGTCGGCCGCTGACAGTCAAACATGGAGTCCGAAGCAGCTCTAACCGAAGGGCATTTTTTAACGTTAGCTCTCAACAATTGGAAATACTCCGTTGACTAGCAAGCACAAAATGGTGGCGTTTTCAATCGTGGGCAGTTAGCTATCTAACATAACATTGCATTGAGTTAACTGCGCATGTAGCAATGGCATCATTTTTTAATTGGTAAAAAAGTTTTAATAAAGAATATTTGATAGCTAAAGTAATTAGCTAGTTCACATCTAGACATACAGTAACATTAACCCGTGTTAGTTAATCAGCTAACGCTAATGACATTTTACATATATTTCACAGGCAGAAGCATAGCACCTTAGCTAAATTAAGGTTAAATATATTTTCGCGCGCTATCTAGGCTAACGATTTAACGTTAGCTAGCCAACTAGCGTTAGCTTCAGCCAACTAGCTAGCAGACAAGCAAAGGCAATTAACTAACGGTCAAGTTACCGTTAGAAAACGAAATACATGCGAAATTAACTCATAACGGTTTCAACAACCTACGGATTGTTGAAACTAAAAGTCTAACATTACCTCAAAATCCACAAATATATATATGCGGCATCCACAAAACGAGGGAAATATGGCGCTTCCAGCCAAGCTACAGGCACCAATATTATATATTCGATGTAGACTAGCTTATTCAGACACTCGAATAACAGATGGCTGGGACATGTTAAAAAAGAGCAATAATTTGCCTGTAATAACCAAGCTTCCAACACTTACCTTAGACCGACCACTGTTAGTTGCGGGCGACTGGTTTGAAAAGACGTTGGTCTGGTCAGTCAGAGAGATGGACGACTGTCACTTGGAAGTAGGCGGGGCGGACACATATCTCATGATCGTGATTGGTGGTTTATGTTGTCATTCATGACTTTCCCCTTAGAATTTTCTGGAACACAGCTATTAACATATTTAATATATTTAAGGCCCGATTCACCGACATGAATATATATGT